GGGTCCTGTGCTTGCTCGTCTTGCTCACTTAGCTGGCACTCTACCACTTGAGCCATATTTCTAGCCTGGCTTTTTGCTGTTTATTTTGGGGATGAAGTTTCAAAGACTTTTCTGCCCAGGCTGGCTTTGAACCTCGATCTTCTAAATCTCTACTCCTTGAGTAGCTAGGTTTTACAGGGATAGGACAGTGGTGCCCAACTCACACTCTTTTGTGCCAGGCATGGTAATGCTTACCTGTAATTCCAGCACTCAGGAGGCTGAGGCAGAAAGATTACACTTTCAAGGCCAGTCTGGGCTATGTAGTGAATCCTAAGCCAGCCTGTATACACATGGAGACCCTCTTTCAAACAACAACCACAAACCCCACTTTTTAAATTTTTTGGTCAGTCATGGGGCTTGAACTCGGGGCCTGAGCACTGTCCCTGAGCTCTTTAGCTCAAGGCTAGTGCTCTACCACTTAAGCCACAGAGCCACTTCTGATTTTCTGGTGATTAATTGGAGATAAGAGTCTCACAGACTTTTCCTGTATGGACTGGCTTTGAACCTCAATCCTGAGAGCTCAGCCTCCTGAGTAGCTAGGATTACAGGCGTGAGCCAAAGGCGCCCGGCAAAACCCCATGTTTGGGCTTCATTTAGAAGGAGAAAGTAGAGATTAGTGTTAGTATATTAAAAAAAAATGTAAGAAATAGATCCAAGGAACAAACTAAAAAAAGTAAGCAGAAAAAGAATGTAGCCAGTAGTGAAACTATAAATTAGGATAAGGAGTGGGTTTGGTTTGGAGGTTTTCTTTGCTAGAATGTTTAACCCTTTGTGGGGGTGGAGACAGAGAGAGACACACACACACACACACACACACACACACACACACGCCAGCCCAGGCTAGCCTGAACTCACGGCCCTCCTGCCCCTTCCTACTGAGTGCAGGGATTACAGCTTGCACTGCCACGCTTGGCTGACCTTTCACTTGATTCACTTAGCTTTAGTTTTATTTTTCTGAAGGAACATAAATGAAATCTAACAACTTGCTTGTGTGAATTTAATCTACAAAATCTGATGTCCAAGGATTTTTAATACTAAAACTAATACTCTATTTTAAAGGAAAAACAGAACTTCAGAATATTACTGAGTCCTTGACAGAAAAAACAACACAAAACAAATCATACGGACAGAACACAGTGAGCCTATTCATAAGGAACTACACTAACACAAAATAGACATAAACTGATAATATGCAAGAGTTTCCATAGCAACAGGAAAGTTGAAGTAGGTTAGTCTGTTGGAAAGAGTTAAAGATGAAACTTGAACTGGTGACTCCCATCTAATTTCACTACTCAGGAGGTTGAGATCTGAGGATCACAGTTCAAAGACAACTCAGACAAAAAATTGCCCCCAGATTCTTTCTTTTTTTGGGGGGGAGGTCCAGTCGTGGGCCTGAACTCTGAGCCTGGGTGCTGTCCCTCAGCTCTTCAGTTCAAGGCTAGCGCTCTACCACTTGAGCCACAATGCCACTTCCGGCTTTTTTTTCTGCTTATGTGGTGCTGAGGAATCGAACCCAGGGCCTCATGCATGCAAGGCAAGCGCTCTACCACTGAGCCACCTTCCCAGCCCCGCCCCTAGACTCTTATCTCTAGTTAACCAGCAAAAAGCCCGAAGTGGAAATGTGGTTCAAGTGGTAGAGCACCAACTTTGAATGAAAAAGCTAAAGAAGAGCTTGAGGCTGAGTTCAAGCTCCAGTTCACACATACATATTACACACATGCATATTTGGGGAAGAATTGACAATGTCCATCTCAGAACAAAGAAATTAAAGAATTTTTGTTTGGTGTGTGTGTATGTGTGTGTATGCATATGTGTGCTGGTACTGGGACTTGAACTCATGGCCTGAGTGCTATCGCTAGCGGTTATGCTCAAAGCTGGTGCTCTGCCACTTGAACCACACCTCTACTCCTGGCTTTTTGCTTGTTAACTGGAGATAAGAGTCTTATGGACCTTCCTGCCTGGGATGGCTTTGAATCGAGATCCTCAGCTCTTAGCCTCTGAGTAACTTAGGATTACAGGTGCCTGGCAAAATTAAAGAATTTGAATAAATGAATAGAAGCCAATTTGAGCAAATGAGGCTCTAGGGCAAGTGGATAGATGGGTTCTGCTGTCTGGGTAGGTCCAAGGTGTCTTTTAAAAGACTTTGCTTCTTTTCTGTACCACATGCAGTGGCAGAGGATAAGATGTGGGGCTTAAGTGAGTGCCTAGAATATACAGCATGGCTTTGTTCCAGATGTGAAGCAGCTGCAGAGAAAGTTCTGTCTCTCCCTGAAACTGGAGCAGGAAAGACAATGATATATGTGTTGTTTGTGAAGAGACAGTGTCTTTGGACATGATTAGTAGCTTGTAGTTCCAGGGGATCTTTTCTATGAAGCCAAAAACAAAACAAACAAAAAACAAACCTCAGCCAGGTGCCAGTGGCTCATTCCTGTAATCCTAGCTACTCAGGAGGCTGAGATCTGAGAATCATGGTTCCAAGCCAGCCCAGGTAGGAAAGTCCATGGGACTCTTATCTCCAATTAACCATCAGATAGATAGCTGGAAGTGGTGCTGTGGCTCAAGTAGTAGAGTGCTAGCCTTGAGCAGAAGGAGCTCAAGGGCAGCTCCCAGGCCCTGAGTTCAAGCCCCGCAATTGACCAGCAGGGGATGGGGGGCCAGGAGGGGGGAAGAAACACCTCATTTTTTTTGGCCCTACATACACTCTTTGAAATGGGAAGTTAACATTCCAATCTTCAGAGAAACGTTTTGTAGGTTCTTATTTTATTTATTTGTTTATTTTTGTGCCAATCCTGGGGCTCAAACTCAGGGCTTGGGCATTCTCTTTTCTGAGCTTTTGTGCTCAAGGCTAGCACTCTACCATTTGAACCATAGCTCTACTTCTGGCATTTTTGGTAGTTCATTAGAAAGAAGAATATCACAGACTTTCCTGCTCCGACTAGCTTTATACCAAAAGCCTTAGATTTCAGCTTCCTGAGTAGCTAGGATTACAAAAGATGAGCCACTGGCACTGGCTTGTAGGTTAAAAATTATATATGTTAGCCTAATGAGCTCCTTCCCTATAGCTTAGCATGCCCTTTTCTTGGGCAACACAAGGTGCATTTAATTTTTTTTTTTTTTTTGGGGTCCGGTCATGGGGCCTGAACTCTGGCCCTGGGCACTGTCCCTCAGCTCTTCAGCTCAAGGCTAGTGCTCTACCACTTAAGCCACAGCACCACTTCCGGCTTTTTTCTTTTTGCTTATGTGGTGCTGAGGAATCGAACCCAGGGCCTCGAGCATGCAAGGCAAGCGCTCTACCACAGAGCCACCTTCCCAGCCCCACTAGGCGCATTTAAAAGGCTGTAAATAATCGGCCCCCAGCCCCCCTTTACCTTTTTTTTTCTTTTCTTCTTCTTTTTTTTTTTTGTTGTTGTTGTTGGCTATGGGGCTTGAACTCTGAGCCTGGGCACTCAGAGTTCAGCTCAAGGGAAGTACTCTATCCCTTGAGCCAGAGTGCCACTTTGGTTTTCTAGTGTTTAATTAGAGATAAGAATTTCACAGACTTTCCTGCCCAGGCTTGCAGGAAAAGCCATGAGACTCTTACCTCTAATAAGTACTCAGAGAAAACTGGGAATGGTGCTGTGGTTCAAGTGGTAGAGCGCTAGCCTTGAACACAAAGAAGCTCAGAGACTCAGAGACAGTGCCTAGACCCTGAGTTCAAGCCCCAGGACCAGCAAAAAAAAAGTGGGGGGGAGGGCGAAGCAGGAAATCTGTTCAATCTGTTCAGAAGCTAATTGTCTTTTGTCAGGGTTATTAGTAGCTGATTGAGGAAAGGGAATGTATGTGGAATTTCCTTTGTAAGTACTCACTTGAGTGGATATATATAGACCTGAATGCTTCTGATAATGATGATAATTAACAGCAATTCTACCCATATCCATAGGTTGTTAGAAGCTATGTAATTAAGAACTGGGACAACTATTCACAAAATGAATTATGGGTCATGCAATGAGATATCAGAGAAGTCTTTCAAACAATTACAGTCTTGATTATAAAATACTCAAGAGGGGAAAATGGTAAGATGTACTGAAGTTGGGTTTGAAGCAGAAGAGACCTAGTTAACAGAAACTAAAAGGTCAGGTTTCCTCTCCCCAAGACAATATCCCCCCAAAGGGCTAGAATTTGTTGGTATCTTAATAGTATCTCAGTTGTGAAGAAAACCAAGAAAAACAGAAGGCAAAGCAAAACAAACATGAGCTACCTCATGGCCAGGTCTCCTAATGAAATCCTCAGCTAAAGGGGAAAAAAGGCCCTTTCCCATTCCTTCACACTCTCTCTCTGTCTCTTCCTCTCTCTCCCTGTCTCCCCTTCTCCCTCCCTCTCCCCCTCTCCTCCTTACCTCCTCTTCCACCTCCCCCTCCCCCTTTTTCCCTTCCTCCCTTCCCCCCCCCTACTATCTTTCATTGAGACTTTCTCATATTAGACTTTACCGAAAAACCAGACATTCAGGTACAAAGAACAAAGAAAAGTTTTATTGCTAGTAAAGGGCTTGGGAAGACCCCTTCCCGCAAGAGAGAAGCGAGAAGAAATGCCAGCTATTGCCTGAGATGACCTATATGACCTACTGAGGCTAGAAGGGGCTAGAAGGGACTAGGAAGCAGAGACCCTCCTGTGGACCTGAGGACCAGGGGCTTCATCGGTGGACTAGGATTTATGACTGCTGCCCTGTAGCTGCTCAGACCTGAAGGTCACTCTAAGGGGATCTTGTTGCCTTAGATGGTGGTGGTTACCTCCAAAGGAGTGCCATCTCAAGGTAAAGGGGGCCTGGAGCCCATGGCTCACACCTGTAATCCTAGCTCCTCAGGAGGCTGAGATCTGAGGATTGAGGTTCAAAGCCTCTCATGCTCAGTGCCTCTCATTCTTTTTATCCTTCACGTCCATTTCAAACCTTGAAACCCTAAAAGGAATGACATAGAAGTACATACCTCATTTACATCCTGTAAGTGATGATCAACCATTGCTATTTCATTAGCCTTCGTAATTCTCGCACTGTCAAGATGAAAGTCATGTATTTAGATGACCACTTGCTCTTTATCCAATTTTGTCTAAAAATTTCACGTGTCAGAAGTGCAGCTGTGGCTCAAGTTGTAGAGTGCCAGCCATGGCAGAAAAGGCTAAAGGACAGAACCCAGACCCTGAGTTCAAACCCCAGTACTGATGCAAACACACACACACACACACACACACACACACACACACACAAATAACTTTCAAGTCTTTGCAAAGAACCACCCTAATATTTGGCTAAAATAAAGTAAAACCTTGTATAGTTAGATAATCAAAAGACTTACAGTATTTTGCTTCACAAATCAAGTTATCTACTAAGAAACCTTCATGAGAAAGTTACACAGTGTGCTCTTCAATCTCTTTTGCTCTCTCTCGTGCTCTCTCAGGTTTTCTCATGCTCCCCCCCCCCCGCCCCCCTCTCTCTTTTCCTCTTTCCTCTCTGGGTTACAACAGACAAGGCTATGTTACAACCACACAGCAAGGTTTTGCAATACAATGACCTTGAAATAGAATACGGCCTGGTTAAAAACTTAGTCGATCAAAATGGACTAAACAAAGCCATGCTTGCTAGACGCTTGTGTTGTGGCCCACTAAGAAAGCTATGGCTGTTTCAGAGGAATGCTTTCTACATCATAGAGGTTCACTTGCTGTAACATTGTCACAGCCGGGTAATTAAGTCATCACCCAATCAGCAGTTAGGCATCAGCTGAGATCTGAGGATCACTGTTCAGAGCCAGCTCCAGTCAGGAGAGTCTGGGAGACTCTTACCTCTAGTTAACCACCAAAAAGCTGGAAGGGGAGCTGTGGCTCAAATGATAGAGCATAAAAACTCAAGGACTCAGAACCCAGACTCTGGGAGATGAGGGAAAATGATGGAAGGGGTAACTTTGATCAAAATGAATTAGGCAAAAAGTAAGGGCAGAGGTGGGTAAAATGTTAAAAGACGTTGATCTAGAGTCACTGTCTTCATAAACTGCTCTGATGAATAGCAACTCCTTTGTACAATTACCTAAAGAAAATAGAAATATATTTTTTAAAAAAAGATGAACTGGTTGACAAGACTTGTACTTATTACCTTTCTTATGTAACTGTAATTCCTCTGTACATCGTCTTGACAAAACATATGGCCAGAAAAGATGAACTGGACATATAAATGGACTTGTTAAATTGTTACCTCCATTGTATACCCATTTGAAGATTTAAAAAAAAAATCATTGTGGGCACATAAGCCCCTAAAAATAAACTCTAAATATCTACATCCTTGAACTACATGAACAAAGGAATAGCTGCAGTCGTGCTCTAAAACCAAAACTGAAGTTTGCTTCTCAAAAATATGTTAATTACTGGTTGTTGTTGGGTTTTTTTTTTTTTTTTTTTTGAGGAGGGAGGCCTCATTTTTTGCAGGCCACAGATGACTCATTGAATTTCCAATTTTTTTTTCTGTTTTGATTCTGACATGAAATCGAAATGCCAAATAGTAACATGTGGACCACCCTGATACTCTGAAATTTCTCCTGAGACTGCACATGGCTGGTGATAACTGTGTAGGCCGTGTCCGTAAGACCTGCTTATCTGCCTATCTCAAAACATTTGTAAACACTTCATAGCCACTCAAGGTTACTCTGAGCTACTTTCCTCCATTCCTACACACAAGTGGAAACTTGAAGGATTTTTAATTTAAAAAAAAATTTTTTTTTTTTGCAGTACTTATGGGAAAATCGCAATGGTTCTTGTAAATGTCACAAGCCAGCGACTAACGGTTCAGTAATGTGGTTTTCCTAACCACGCAGAAGTATGTTCAGCTACTCGCTGGTCTTCTGATCTATTAAGCAGGTTTATGACAGGGTACTATTTTAGAACAATGAGACAAAACTGAGCCCTCAAAATAAGCATGATTCTATCGCTATAGAAGATTCCAGTTTTCTTTAATCTTTTTTTTTTTTTTTTTGCTAGTCCTGGGGCTTGAACTCAGGGCCTGGGCTCTGTCCCTGAGCCTCTCTGTGCTCAAGGCTAGCGCTATACCACTTGAATCATAGCGCCACTTCTGGCTATTTCTGAGGAATTGAACCCCAGGGCTTCATGCATGCTAGGCAAGCACTCTACCACTAAGCCACATCCCCAGACCTTCTTTAATCTTGTATGTGTGTGTAGCCCCAGTGCTAGGGCTTGAACTCAGGGCCTGTGTGTTGTCCCTAAACTTCTTTGCTCAAGCCTAGCCGTATACCACTTGAGCCACAGCTCCCCTTCCAGCTTGCTTGGTAGTTAATTGGAAATAAGAATCTCATGGGCAGGTTGGGCTCCCCTGGCTTATACCTGTAAGGATTGCAGTTCAAAGCCAGCCCAGGCAGGAAAGTTTGTGAGACTCTTACCTCCAATTAACCACCAGAAAACCAGAAGTGGCACTGTGGTTCAAAATGGTAGAGTGCTATCCTTGAGCAAAAGAGCTCAGAGACAGCACCCAGGCCTGGAGTTCAAGCCCTACAACCAACAACAACAAAAGAATTTCATTGGCTTTACCAGCTAGGCTAGCTTTGAACCATGATCCTCAGACCTCAGCTTCCTGAGTAGCTAGGATTATAGATGTGAGCCACTGATGCTTGGCTTTTCTTTAATCTTTAAATTAAAAAAAGAAAAAATCCTGTGTATCACCTGGGTGAGCCAGTGGCTCACACCTGCAATCCTAGCTACTCAGGAGGCTGAGCTCTAAGGATCACAGTTTCAAACCAGCCCAAGCAAAAAAGTCTGAGACTCTTTTCTCTAATTACCCACCAAAATGCTGAAAGTGGAGCTATAGTGAAGTGATAGACCATCAGCCTTGAGAGCAAACGCAAGTCTCTTTTTGAGATCTCCTGCCTGAGCCTCCCAAATACTAGGACTATAGTTATGCCCCACCATAGTAGGCTTCTTGGATTCTTGACTGGTTGACATGATCTGCTTTTAGATGATTCTAGCATTGGTTGAATTTTTCTGTAAGGTTCTTATGAAGCACAAAGCCAGCTACCATTGACACTCTTAGTCTTTCCTAACTTGTACTTGAAGTTACATAAAATCATCTTCACTTCACCTATTTTGTTGATGTAAATTTAATTGTACAGGACCAAAGAATAGTGTAAGTTTGACTTTGAAAATGAAGAATCATTAAGCGTCAGTAACTCACACCTGTAATCTTAGCTACTTAGGAGGCTGAGATCAGAGGATCACTGTTCAAAGACAAGCCCAGATAGACAAATCTGTGAGATTCTTTTTTTTTTATTTTTTTTTTTGTCGGTCATGGGGCTTGAACTCTGGGCCTGGGCGCTGTCCCTCAGCTCTTCAGCTCAAGGTGAGCACTCTACCACTTGAGCTACAGCGCCACTTCCGGTTTTCTGGTGGTTTATTGGAGATAAGAGTCTCACGGACTTTCCTGCCTGGGCTGGCTTTGAACCACTATCCTCAGATCTCAGCCTCCTAAGTAGCTAGGATTACAGGTGTGAGCCACGGGCGCCCGGCAAATCTGTGAGATTCTTATCTCTAGTTAACCAGCAAAAAGGCAGAAGTAGAAGTACGGCTCAAGTGGTAGAGTGCTAGCCTTGAGCTGGAAAGAATGCATGCCCTAAGGCTGGGAATGTGGCTTAGTGGTAGAGCGCTTGCCTTGCATGCATGAAGCCCCGGGTTAGGTTTCTCAGTACCACATAAACAGAAAAAGCTGGAAGTGGAGCTATGGCTCAAGTTGTAGAGTGCGGGGCTGGGAAGGTGGCTCAGTGGTAGAGCGCTTGCCTTGCATGCATGAGGCCCTGGGTTCGATTCCTCAGCACCACATAAGCAAAAAGAAAAAAGCCGGAAGTGGTGCTGTGACTCAAGTGGTAGAGTGCTAGTCTTGAGCCCAGACCTTAGGGACAGAGTCCAGGCCCTGAGTTCAAGCCGGAGGAGGAGAGGGAGGGAGAGGGGGAGGGGGAGGGGGAGGAGGAGGAGGAGGGAATGTGAGCCCTGAAGAAGAAGAAAGAAGAAATGGAAAAAGAAAAGAATGTGAGCCCTGAGTTCAAGCCCCAGTATGGGCACATACATACATACGTACACACACACACACAGAAGTATTGTTTGCAACTGTGGCAATGTCTGTATAGGTGAAGAAAAGTAGAGGTTTTATATGTACTCAGTTCCAGTTATTTTGAGAAGTGAAAAAAAAAAAAAAAAAACAGTCTGAACTTCGTGGTTTGAATTATTTGGTTTAGGCTAGATTCTTTGGATTTGACTCCTTACATTCTTTTAATGCCATTGCTAGAGGAAAATGTGGCAATGTGCTCCATGTGCTGCAGATTTCCATCAGTAAAAGAAGGTGAGAGAGAGAGAGAGAGAGAGCATCTGCTGCAGCCATCAGCCAGAGTAAACAAGCACGCATGTTCCTCTTTGGTGCATTCTATAACAGCAAATGTGGCCATTTCAGTGTGTGCAGGAGAGGAAATCCATCACAATCTGGACTTCTTGTTCTGTTTCACATAGAGTGAGGAAACATTTGATTTGGAAAATTATCTTCACTTTAACGGCTAATTAAAAAAGAGCTGGAATTCAGCTTTTACGGAAACTCCAAGCCCAGTGTGGTAGTGCACACCTGTAATCCCAACACTGGGAAAAGCTGAGGCAGGAGGATCATGGTTCCAGGGCATAATATAGTCAAATTCTAAAAACACAAAACAAAAAACTAAGGCTGAGCGCTGGTGGCTCATGCCATAATCCTAGCTATTCAGGAGGCTGAAATCTGAGGATCATGATTCAAAGCCAGTCCAGCAGACAAATCATCAAGATTCTTACTTCCAATTAACCACTAAAAATCAAAAGTGGAGTTATGGCTCCAAGTGACTTAGCTCTAACCTTGAACAAAGAAAGCTCAGGGACAGCATCTTGCCTGAATTTAAGTCCAACCAGCCGCAGACAGAAATATACAACACACACACACACACATACACACAAATTCAAACTAATAGAACAAAACCAAAACTATAGTGATCCTTTTAGGCTAGTCTTACATATATTATATTTTATCTCTGGAACCTTTATTTATTTACTTATTTGTTTATTTTTTTTTGTGCCAGTACTGGGGC